GAGAATTTCTCTCATTGTCATTTGATTGCTGTCAATGCGTAATCTTACACGTATCCTCGCCATGATGTTGAGGAAGGAACATCTGGCAAAGGAGTTTCTTAACAAAAAGGGAATTTTCCTTGATGTTAAACTAGCATCCTGTTACAGCTGACTTATGAAGGTCAGCCCTAAGATAGCCTACCCTCGAGTAGTGAGGGGAAAGGGCCCAAGGCAAAGATTGGCTGGATTTTAAAAAACCACACGGGCTACCAGATGGTCAAAATGCCTTGTGTTAACTCGCCAAAGCGAAGTTGCCGAAAAAGAAGAAGATAGGACAGTCAGAAGGATAGCAATGTATGTATAGTGTGTTAAGTGTGTGGGCCAGTGTTGATGTATGGGTGAGGGTAGGATGGGGAAGGATGGGGGGATGGGGATGAGAGGGGTGAACAAGCAAGCAAGTCACCGCCTTACCCTCTTGATGGGATGGGGCTCGAAGTGACTGCAAGCAAGTTTCCTCTCAGCTCTGGTGAAGAATTACTCAGGATAACACAAGAAAATTCCCGAGCAACAGTGTTCAGAGTTGCTCAGCTGAAGAGCAGGAACGACGACGTCTTCTCTCCACGGTGGCTGGGCTGCTTCTCTGTCTGTCGTCTGTATTTTTCACGTTCCCTCCGTATTCTGAGAATTTGACAGTAATAGTCTGAGTGCACCAGATACCTTTGCTGTTAATTTCACCTTGTATATATATATTTATTCTTCCTCAGAATCCGTAGAGTGCATGAATACAGATCGATCGATCAATTCCATCCATATTGCACAATGATTTGTTCTCATAGTTTGTAATGCATTACGTTAAAAGTGATTACGTTAACACCCATTACGTTAAAACTCATTTTGTTAACATCCATTATGATACCATCCATTAGTTCTAAGTTATACATATATGAATTTGTTATTGTATAGAATCAGCCCAGAACCACCTGCCTGTTCAGCCTATAAGATAGTAGTGTATGTCGAGACGACATACGTAACATGACCGAGCTGTCAGCGTAGTTGCTGATCCCTGTGTTGTATAGCATATTAGTATCATCCATGTGCTTTAGATAGGAGATCCCTTTTAGGCCTGTGACTGTTGTGTAACGTCACGGGATGCACATGTGTATGTTCATACCTCTGCCCCGCTCTCAGTCGGCGTTTTGACACAGGCTAGGACAGGCAGAGGCTGGGCTCCATTTCCCATCATCACAGTCTGACAATATATGTTACCATCCAACAAGTGTGTCTACCTTCAACCCTCGATATCTCCATTTAAGACCCCCTACGATATTAGTATCTGTATTAGTATTGTGTTTAAACTAAGTACAGTGGACCCCTGCCTTACGAACGCATTGCGTTACGTTAAATCCGCCATACGAAGCATTTGGATGCAAAAAATTTGCCTCGCCTCACGATAAAAAACTCGCCTTACGTGATTCGTCCGGGACACGTCCCACGTGTGGCCTCAGCACCAGTGTTTACAAGCCAGCCAGTGCAGTCGCATCTATGCATACATTCGGTACATTTCACATTATCCCAGTGTTTTTAGTGCTTGTAACTGCAAAATAATCGGATGACGGACTCTCCGTACTGCCCGTGGTGTCCCTCACAGCCTGAGACGGTGGAACACTTCCTGCTGTGGTGCCCACGTTATCACTCTGCACGGACTACTCTCCTTGCAGCCTTGCGCACACTTGGGGTGCACACTTTCACTCTACCTGTCCTCCTCAACGGGGAGGGGTTTCGCCCTCTGGACCATCAGGAGATATTGGCCTGTACCTGCTCCTTCCTGCTGGCTTCAGGGTGTATCAGAGACATATGATACATAGTTATTAGTCAAGACATTCTTCCACTTTGGTCGATATTCCCTCTCCTAGCACTGGACGGCCTTGCTCGATGTGGCGTGTGCTGTCAGTGGCCCTGAAACCCAACAGAAGAAGAAGAAACTGCAAAATAAGTCACCATGGACCCCAAGAAAGCTTCTAGTGCCATCCCTGTGGTAAAAAGGGTGAGAATTAGTATGGAATTGAAAAAAGAGATTAAGGAAATGTGTGCAAAGTGGGTTGAACTGCAAACCTTTACAGGTGAAAATCACCCTGACACAGCTACTGCAAACCATGTTGGCAACCTGTACAATGACAGTGTTATGGCCCATTTTAGGAAAGTCTTAAAGGACGGGAGGTACAGAGCTCTATGGACAGATTTGTTGTGTGACAGAGGTTCAGTGACTCTCTCAAGCCAGTCCTAGTGGCATTAAAAGAAGAAGGGAAGTAACCCCAGAAAAGGACTTGCTACCTCAAGTTCTAATGGAAGGGGATTCCCCTTCTAAACAGTAACTTCCACACTCTCCCTTCCTCCCATCCCATCAATCATCACCAGATCTTCAATAAAGGTAAGTGTCATGTATTCTATTCTTAGTAGAGTAGTAATTGTGCATGTCTTCTTCAGTTTGTGTGTATTAAAATTAATATTTCATGTGGTAAAATTTTTTTTTTTTCATACTTTGGGGTGTCAGGAACGGATTAATTTGATTTCCATTATTTCTTATGGGGAAAATTAATTTGGCTAACTATAACTTCGGCTTACGATGAGCTCTCAGGAACGGATTAATATCGTAAGGCGGGGGTCCACTGTATTGGGTTTGATGTTATCCCATCCCTAGTTTGTATATGATACGGTTGTTATCCATTTCAAAACAACAGTTATTGTAGCTACTGATATTATAAAGAGCAAATAACCTCTGGAAACATATGTGACATAGTTGAAATGGATTAAATCTAAAGATTTATTCTGTAAATTGTTTTTAACATAGAATGTAGACTGAATGGCTTTATTTAATTTACTTGTTGAAAATCATCTTTTAAAGGTGAGAAGGATTGAGAAAGATATAGATTAATAACAAGCATTGGGATTGCATCAGGTCACCTTTGATTTCACATGCTCTTAATTTTATCCCTTACAAGCATTGCTTTCATAATTTGTATATAATGTATTTACAAATAGGCAAATTTATTTACAAATATTATCTCTCACTTCACAACAGGATTTGAACTGGCACACTGTATCAAAGTATGCAATGGAATTTTGTACTTTTGGTAAATAAAACGTGTGACCAATCTTCCTCAGTTGAATACAGGCAAACATAACACTGGAGATAGTAGAAGTAATTTTGAGGTGATCAGTCCCTCAGTGTTATATTCACTTGTTCAACTGCAGATTCCTAATCTGCTGGTGAAACGTTTCCACAGTAAAAATACGCAAGTGTTACATGTGTCTGTTATTCATCAATTTTTCAGTATTGTATATTATCAGTAATATATTTTACTTACGGCTTGAGATACAGGTCCACATCCCTTTATCTGAAATACTGAAATTCGAAAAGTTCCGAAAACTGAAGTTTTTTCGTGGAGTGTGGAGCGTTAGTCATCTCAGTGCTGGGTCACGTCGCCATGTGGCGGCATTGAGAATCATTCTGATATTTGGAAAAGTCTGAAATTCAAAACAAAACTGGCCTCAAGGATTTTGGATAAAGGGATGTGGATCTGTACCAAGATTTCGTCAGAGTCTGCTGTTTGATATAAATAAGAGAGGAAGTATAAAATGGCATTGTATAATGTCATTACAAATTTTGGTTGTCAGTTAAATCTCTACACTGTGCTGTAGCCTGTAACAGTGGTCCTGGCTTCCCAGGTGAAAGTTATTTTCTCTGGCTACCCTCATTGTAATGTCACTTAATGCTCTATTAATTTTTGCCCCTCTCCATATTGATCTCCTAATGAATACTATTTTCCATTTTCAGTTTTTGCTTATTTGTCTACATTTAGAGAATTGACTCAAAATAATGTTAACATGAAGGATGTTAAAATATCTAAGAGGGATTCTATTTTAAGCTGCCCCTCAGAGATAAAAGAGTTTCCAAAACGAAAAAGAAGATTCTGGCACAGATATAAACATACAGGCATACCTTGCTAATATGGCACTTCACTTTAGAGCACTTTGCTAATATGGCACTTGCCAATTATATTCATGTTTATTTTTTTTTTAGCAATAATGCTCACATCAACTGACCAGTGCCATTTTTTTTTATTTTACTTTTGCATAGTTTTTTAGGCTTTTATACGCACAGGCAAGTGGAAAAAAACTGCGAGTCACTTTAAGGCGATATTTGCTTTATGGTGGTGGTCTGCACTCTAACCTGCCATATTAGCAAGGAATGCCTGTACTATCAGGAATCAAAAACCTGCAGATTCGTCTGCATATTCAGTGATGTGAAACCTTCCACTCTCATATTGGTAGTTACTTTTCTCAGAGTATTACCTGGTTGATACTGAGCACCTGCAAGATAGCAGGTGGTGGCCTTGATGATCATTACTCGGTAATCTGTTAATTCACACTTAGGGTACTGGCTATCCTTATTCCATCTTGACACTTGTGGAAGACTGTTCTGCTTATCTGCAAATTATACTTACCAGATTTATCCATGATCATGTCATGGATGGGCACACTGCTCTGCTGTGAAAGGTTTGTCAAGTCATAGTAGGCATCCAGCATATCTTGTTAGGTTATCCCGTGTATATCTTGCAGCATGTCGTCTCTATTTAAAGCTTCTTTGTTGCACTTTGTGCTTACTCTTATGGCTTTTCTTTCTTGATAATTTTAAATTTCAAGTAGATATTGTCTACATTTTATTTGTTATAAACTGTCACATTTATTACCTTAATAATAATAATAATAATAATAATAATAATTATTATTATCTATTATTATTATTATTATTATTATTATTATTATTATTATTATTATTATTATTATTATTATTAACTCAAAAGTACATCATCATAAGATCATTATTATTATAAATTGTTTCATGGTACAGGTATATTAAGTAACTACACAAATATTGTAGTTGATTTTGTAAGTGCATTGCCAGAAGAAACATGATTACAGCAGTCAATATACTGTATTTAAAGACTGTTTTTTTACAGGTAATATTAAAAATCCATGAAGCCAGAACAAGATTATCAAAGTTGGGGTGTTTCAAGGATGTTGGTGTTTTTATCGACACTTACGATGGACCAGATGCTGTTGAGGATGGCATTGAGGTAAGAAGACTTTCGTCAGTTTTGTATCCTTCGGAAGACAAGTAGAGTGATGGATCAGTCAGTCTGTCAATGGCAAATGTGCCTGTGAACCTCTAGCAGCAACAGCTTAGTTGACCAGTTAATCAACTGAGAAGCCTGGTCCCAGGTTGGGTTACAAGGGTAGAAAAACCAGTGAAAGCAGTCATGTGTATGCAGTGGAGTGGAAGGGACGAAGGAAGTTGAGAAATGATATTTAAAAGCTCTTTACTTAATTCATGACATCCAGGAATACATTCCTGAACATCAAAGCAAGCTCTGTAGTATAATGTTACAAGTAGTATCAGTGCTTCTTAACTAAAGGAAAAGTTGAATCAGAAGACCTGTATAGTACAAAGGTTTCTTCATGATCTTTACATCTATTCAGGTGACATTTGAAGTGCGTGAAGTGAACCTCTTGGGAGCCAAGGTGAATACCAGTGTGGGAAACAATGAAGGTACAGTGTCAACGGGTGGCTTGTTAAAGAACATATTTGGCCGCGGCGAGGAACTTAGCTGCGAGTATTCCCATGGCACAAAGAAGTCATCGTCTTTCTTCACTACATTTACTAAACCTTTTCATAATGAGGCTAGCACTGTGTAAGTTTGACTATCATTTTTTACTTAAAACTAATATTTATGGTCTTATTTGGAACATGATTACAAAATCTTACCTCTTGAGAATCTTGAAGCTGTTATTTTGCTAGGCAAATTTTAGCTCGGAACACAATCACCTTACAAAAGGGAAATAGCCAGGCAAGTAAAACATATGACACCAGTGAATCATAATAGTTGGAATGCAAAAAAGTGCATATTAAACAAATATAAGAGTGCTCAATAATTACCCACATGGAGACAGAAACTCAGAAGATTCATTGATCTGTACTAATCGATCTGCAGAAATATACAGTTCAATTAATCTTCTGATTTTCTGTCTCCATTTTCTTTTAACAAATCAGTCGTCTCCCACCGAGGCAGGGTGACCCAAAAAGAAAGAAAATCCCTAAAAAGAAAATATTTTCATCATCATTCAACACTTTCACCTCACTCATACATAATCACTGTCTGTGCAGAGGCGCTCAGATACGACAGTTCGGAAGTCCCTCCAAACTGCCAATATCCCAAATCCTTCCTTTAAAGTGCAGGCATTGTATTTTCCATTTCCAGGACTCAAGTCTGGCTAACCAGTTTCCCTGAATCCCTTCACAAAATATTACCCTGTTCACACTCCAACAGCTCGTCAGGTCCCAAAAACCATTCGATCTCCATTCACTCCTATCTAACATGCTCACGAATGCTTGCTGGAAATCCAAGCCCCTCACCCACAAAACATCGTTTACCCCCTCCCTCCAACCTTTTTGAGGTTTGATCCACTCTCTCTAAATGACCAAACCACCTCAACACCCCCTCTTCAGCCCTCTGACTAATACTTTTAGTAACTCCACACCTTCTCCTAATTTCCACACTCCAAATTCTCTGTATAATATTTACACCACACGTTGCCCTTAGACAGGACATCTCCACTGCCTCCAGCCACCTCCTTGCTGCAACCTAAGCCTCACACCCGTATAAGAGTGTTGGTACTGTCTCCATGTGGGTTATTAATGAGCACTGACAAGTGTTCATGGCACTTTAGTTATTCAAATATAAAAGTGTGTATTATAATTTGTGCTGCTGTGTGACATAGCAATAAGGTGATGTAAGGCCTTCATTTGATCATGATCTATGAGTTACATTTTCCCCTTTATATATTGTGCTTTCTTATTCTTTGGTATTGTTTGGAATTACCAAGATCCCAGGACCAAAACTTATCTAATAATAATGTCCTATGAGTATGTACCTGAGACCTTTCAGCCAGTTCAGTATATTGTTAGGTTAGCACTGAATATGTGAAATGAGGTGAAACAGCCATTTTAAGTTTGTAATACAGTTGTTAAAATTTTTCATTTTGATATCTTGAAATGCATTATATTTTTGGAAAATTCATTTATAACAAAGTCCAGGATAATAGATCTTAACCTTTTATCAAATAATATTTGTATTAACTGGAAAATTTTCCAGGGTTAGCTTTGATCTGATCATACTAATAAACATTGACACAATGAAATTGTTATTAGTTGGTAATGATAGGTGCTAACTTATGAATCATTGATTTTCTTCATCAGTTTTACAAGCAGTGTGTATCAGCAGGGAACGGAAGCTCCTTGGTCAGGTTTCAAGGAGTTTGACCGTGGTCTCCTGCTGACTCTAGCCTTCAATTCAGCTTCCAATGTACGTATATTTTATGCACTGTATATAATTCCCATGATTTACAGTTCCTGCCTGAGTACCAGAGGAAATTATGTAAAAAAGGGCACTTGGAGTTCATGATGATCCTTCTACAACTCGAGTAAGATTTAGTGGAGGGCACTAGTTTTGATTCTTTAACCTTATTGTTAGTGTTATGGCTAATTTGACCTCAGATGCAGTAGGTCCCGCATTGATGATATTAACGTGTTCCTAAAAGTTGTTCTGCACTCAAGGCAGGCCTATTATCCAATAGACATCCATGTTATGATTGAAGATGCATTCCCAAGTAATAATATTTCATATTTAATTTAATTTATTTTTTAATTAAGAATCTTGACTCATCTATTTCACTTAGAAATGGTAAAACTTAATTTTTTTTTTTTAAATACAGTGCTGTCTCCCAGTTGAGGCAGGACGACCCCAAAAAGAAATGTAAAGTTTTCTCTTCTTTTTTTTTACATATAGTAATTCATACAGAAGAAGGGGTTACTAGTCCCTTGTTCCTGGCATTTTAATCACCTTTTACTTATCTCTGGGGTCTGGCTGTTTGGCAAAAATACTACGTACTTTGATGCAGAGTGCACAGGTTCAAATCCTGATTTAGACTGAGATAATGTTTGTAAATAATTTCACCCATTTGCAAATTGTTATTGATGTATGTGTGTGCATTCGTGCATATATGTGTGTATATAATAATGTACAGAAAATTAAATTCCCCAATAGGTCCAGCAGAAATTGATTCTTGATGGAGCCTGGAGGCACATCACCTGTCTTTCTCGATCCACTGCATTTGCCGTCCGTGAACAAGCTGGGCACTCACTCAAATCTGCTCTTCGACATGAGCTCTTGGTTGACAGGAGAGATGATTTAGTGTTTCCATCAGATGGGGTTGCTTTTACCATTAAGGTATGGTTTATTGTAAATTTCTTATTCATGATTGCCTTCTTTGGTTAGTTGACCTTAGTATTGTTAAATGTTTTTATATTGGTGTTTTTACTTCATATACATACAAATGCTGCCAGTGTTTATGAGATAAATATACTTTCACGAAAATAAAATGTTAATGAGTATGCTTTGTGTATTGTAAATAGAATTTTTTGGATTTATACTTCTGTTGTTTATTTCAGAATGAACTAGCTGGCTTAGGAGGTGATATTGGCTTTCTGAAGAATGAGTTAGATTTCCAAGTAAATGTTCCTCTGCCCAAAGAAATGGTGAGTTGCAATGCATACCACAGAACAAGAATCTATTGTGTATTTTGTTGAGAATTTTCGCATAATATGAATGGTTGGTGTCTAGAGAAACAGGACAATCAGTTATGATTTCTATCATCTGTTAAAACAAATCCTTTTCCATTTGGCTAACAGATTAATACATAAAGAAAAAGTAGCCCACGAAACTTTTTTTTTTAACACGTTGGCCATTTCCCACCAAGGCAAGGTGAGCCAAATGAAAGAACCCCCCCCCCCCCACCCCCCCCCCCCCCCCACCCCAAAAAAAAAAAACTTTAATCATCTTTCATCTGATTCAACTGATGTTGCCCACAAAACTGTCATGCATTATTGTGTTGATGCTTATTCATGCGTTATTGTGTTGGTGCAAATAAAATTATATTTAAGATATGTAGACATCAGTCTACACAAAAACTGATCCTTTTTACTAGTACTAATTTCATTGAATAAAGCTGTAGCCAACCACTGTGACTGTCTGCTGTAGCTATTGTTATGAACAGTAGACATTCCTTGATTTTTGAGCCTTTACTTTACAGGTACTGTAACAAATGTGTTGAACCCCTTAATTGTCCAGACGTAGATCTACGTTCTTACCGCTAGCACTCCAAATGTAGATCTATGTTTTATTTTTCCTGCCTCCAATTTTGGCACTGTTGGCCTCAGATGCCTGGTCAGCATAGAATGGGTCTTAACACTCGGTGTGCGCAGTATTAAAAAAATCTTGGGCCACTTAGTACCTTGCAGGAGCACCAGTTCCATTGATCACCAGCTAGAGCAAACAGCATGGCAAATACCAAGGATTTGCTGATGACATGTTGTATTAACACTCCCCATTTAAGAGGTAAGATGGATTTGGCCACAGGTGGTTGCAGAAATATCAAAAACCTTGATAATAACCCATGTACAACATTCATGCAACACCCTTTCAATTTTGGTACCACTGGTAGTGTTATCTTTTCAGAATGTCCTATAACCTATAATGTGTAATACATGTTTGGCAGGCTGGCCGGCTGGCTGGTGGCTGGCTGGCCAGCAGCTGGCTGGCCGGCAGCTGGCTGGACAGCAGCTGGCTGGCCGGCAACTGGCTGACTGGCAGCTGGCTGGCTGGCAGCTGGCTGGATGATTGGCTGTCTGTGTCTCCCTCTGTATCTTTCTCTGTCTATCTCTTTCTCTGTCTCTATCTCACGGGTACACTAATGTAAATACAATTATACGTAGTGTAAATTACTTAGGATAACCCAAAAAGTCCAGACAAAGTGCTACACTGTGCTTGTATATAATTTTTTTTTTTCAACAAGTCAGCCGTCTCCCACTGAGGCAGGGTGACCCAAAAAAGAAAGAAAATCCCCTAAAAGAAAATACTTTCATCATTCAACACTTTCACCACACTCACACATTATCACTGTTTTTGCAGAGGTGCTCAGAATACAACAGTTTAGAAGCATATACATATAAAGATACACAACATATCCCTCCAAACTGCTAATATCCCAAACCCCTCCTTTAAAGTGCATGTAGATAATATAATGCATAAAAACCACCTGGTGGTTCACACTTACACTCTCACACTCACCCAATTGACTATAAACACAGAAATACAAATCTTAAAATAATGAATCCTAACTAATCATAAGTTTGCCTGTGATACTCCAATATAGAAACCATGTATTATACCAAAACAAAAGCATTCACATTGCTAAATTTACAAACTGTAATGTAGTTACTTAGCCTTAATACCAACTTGCTCCATAATCTGTAATAATTTAGAGTTAAGAATTAATCTTAGTCTGCCCGAAATGCCTAGCCATGCTAGGTGTGATAGTGGCCCCCTCTGTAATTAGTATTTTATAACATGTAAACTGCACAATATCCTAAAATATGTAAACCCTGCATTGTAATCTTTATAGAGAATAAACTTGATTTGATTTTATTTGATTTGATTTGATAAGCATGACAGGTAACTGGCAAGTAATACGCATTTTCACTTGTTCAGGAATCAGACATGACCATGTGTAATACCAGACATAAGCAGATGTACCTAGACAGACAGACATGTTTATGTGTAACAGTGAAAACAAATAAAGCAAGGATTCCATGCAGCAGTGCACAATCATCAAGTGTCACTCGACTGCTACCCTGTCAGCAGTTCAGTAACACTCGTCATAACGCCATGCTTCAAGGAGTTTCATATATATTCCAGCGTGTCTAAAACGTTGCTAGAACCTATAAATACTTTGTATATATTCCTAGACAATAGTAAATGACCAAGGCAAGTGTAAATGTTGAACTGTCAGTGTGTTTGTGACAATTTTAGTACAATTTCAGTACCTAATATTAGTGTCAGAACAAAGATTGGCTATGAAGTCACAAGAACTACTATAAATTGTAATTATCAGAAAATAAAAATTATGTACAATAATATAAAAATGGAAAAAAAGGTATATTAGCAACACTTCTTCCAGCAGCAGGACTCCATGTTGCTGTCAGGTGAGCATCCAGCTCCAACTTCATGGTCTTATATCTCAGTAACTACTGGTCCTAAATTTTTTTTTTGGTCTTATTACACAGAAAATTGCCCTCTTTAATTAAATTTTTTTTTTTCTCTCAAAATGTTTGGCGCGCTGGGCAAGTGAACATAGATCTGAGTTTGGACAGTTAATGGGTTAACCCTTAAACTGTCCGAAAGTAGATCTACATTCACGTGCGTAGTGCTCTGAACGTAGATCTACGTTATATTTTACATGCTTTCTTCTGTAAAAAAAACATAAATTTATATTTGGAGCGCTACACACGTGAACATAGATATACGTTTGGACAGTTTAAGGGTTGAAGGACAAGAACAGGGCATCATTGACAAAACATTGAGAATAGGTCACATAATGAAACCATGCATGGAGAGAAACATATAATTCTTGAAAGCTATCTCTAAAAGGAATTTAATAAATACGTAGTATTAATGTGTATATTTGTAATGCTGCTTTACAGGTAATCCAAGGATCTCTGCTGGCAGGCCACTTGTTACCGCTTCGTAACAACAAGACACATTGCATCACTGACCGCTTCATGTTAGGTGGACCTATGAATGTTCGTGGCTTTGAAATGGCTGGCATTGGACCTCACAGTGATGGCTGTTCACTAGGAGCTGATGTAAACTGTTTTATTTATTATAGTTTAACATTACGTACATACATTTATTTTTTATTTTTAAAGGAGCTAAAGACCTCTGGAACTGCAATAAAAAGAATGCTGTAGGATTTTGATTTGTGTTTACTCATCATTGAGCATGCTTCTACTTTGCTTATATCTTATAAATTTATAAATGCCTGTTCATGTTGAAGAAGAAGCATATAACAGTCTCCTGTAATTTTTGCCTATAAACTTATTCTCTGTCCACTCACACAGATGTATTGGGCTGCTGCTCTACATGCATACAGTCCATTGCCTCTTCTGAATCGAGGCTCCATCAGTGAGAAGTTTAGACTACATGCTTTTGTTAACACTGGCAATATTGGTGACTTTGTTTTGAGTAAGTGACCAAGGTTTTTTTTTATTAATAGCCTGAATTTTATATTTGTTCATTGTAAATCTGTTGTAGTTCCCATAGGGCTTTCCATCTAGATTTCTTACCTTAGTAGAACATAAGCTACCAACCTCCCTCTTACACTACAGATTTCCAAAATGTTTCATACAGTAGTCAATTATTTTTGTATTATTCTGACATATAGTATAAAATTTTATATTTACCATATAGTTTCTTTGCAGAAACTGTTCATCTTCATACTTCCGTAATACCTCTCTTCACATGGTTGGTCCTTTTCCTCTCTTACTTGTAAATTTTTTGTGCATTCTGATATGCACACCAAGCTAATTTCCATTTATTTTGTCCCCTTATTCTTTCTCCTCTTGCACATTTTGTATAGTCATTTAGTGTTTTTTCCACCTCTCCAATAATGTACAGGACAGTCCATATAGTTATTTCACACACTTTGAGCAAGCCTGTGATTTACCTATGAGCTATTTTGAGAGTTTTCCTATTCTAAAGGCCTGCCAATACCTGAGGCAATGTCATTATCTTTTTTAACTTCTCTTCTACCATATTATTTCATACATTCTTTTAGTTCTCTCTATGTCTTTTATCTTTTGCCATTGATTTATGTACATAAAGGATATTTACTGCTCAAGACATTTATAAAGGAAATGTTTTGCCACGAATGGCTTCTTCCAGAGTGAAGAAGTAACTTGGGGTGAATACTAGTTTACTTAATAAATGTTTTGATCAGTGCATGTCTTTTACCTGCAGCCTGTTGGTATTGCCATACCACTTCCACTATTGCTTTATGACTTGAAATTTGTTCATTTCAGTAGGTGCTCAGGTATCTTTTATTAAATACTGTATGTGGAAAAATTGATGAGTAGTTAAATTTTGTTGATAAGTGTATTCTTTTTCCAGCTGATGACTACAAACAAAATCTTCAGACGCTTGTTCGTGACATGCGTTTATCTTATGGTGCTGGACTGGCCATGAGTTTTGGGGGTTTTGCAAGAGTAGAGCTTAACTATTGCATTCCTCTGCTTCTCCAACGGGGTGATAGACCAAACCAGGGACTTCAATTTGGTATTGCAGTTTCTTACTTGTAACATATCATGAAAGACTGGCTTTACTCTTGGTATAAAGTTTGAAAGTCAACATTATCTTAATATACTGTATCTTATTGTGAGATACCAGTAAATTGTAAAATAGCTACCATAAATACAGTAAATTGTTACTAAAGCATTGGCTTTACAAAGCAGCTACAGACTATTTGAGAGGACACTTTTGAAGACTGACTCAAATGCTTTAAGTATGGTCCATACACACTGACCGTCCTAAAGCTTTTGTTATTTTCTTTACTTTCATCAAGGTCTTCTGCATATAAAATGAATTTATATGTAGTACTCATTGTACATTGTAAAATAAATTTGTGTACTTATGATTGTAAATGCTTCAACCTTAATCATGTTTTTTTTTTTTTTTTTTTTCTTGCATATTGTTACAATAGCTGAAAGGGTATCACATTCAGACTAAATTGCTTATTCAATGAAACCTTTTTTTTTTTTTTAACTTTAAGTTATTTTTTCCCATATTTGTGTTTTCTGCTATTTTCCTTATGCTTCTTCTTTATAGATTTGCCGGTAATTCCGGCCCGGGTCTTCTCCAGACGGTGACCCGGCGGTGGCCCCCGGGGCGGGGGTATCGTTCGTCTTCTTCATTCTTCTGTCTTCTCTCTTGGGCCCCCCGGTTGGAGGGTAACTTCTTCTTCTATCTTGCATTGACTCCCCAAGTGGGGAGTGTCTTCGTGCTTGGGATCTTCAATGTCACAGTTGGGCAGAGGCAGAAAACAGGGTCCCATTGGAGCCACACCCCAGCTTTAGCAGTCAGCAAAGTGCTGGGGAAACTTGTCTTGATGGTGGTGCTAGAGGGGGGAACTCTCTGCAGCAAGCTGATTAAACCTGCTCCTCAGTGCTTCGTGGTCGATTCCACCGTTGTTGAGGGCAGAGTAGATACGGTTGGCAAGGTGTTCTGGAGTTTGCATTGGGTTCTTCTTCTGGTTGGTTGTGCAATGTCCACCACTCTTGCCCTTGGCCTCATGTTGCCGTGGGGGATTGGCGGTGGCCTGGGGAGCTGCAGCTCTTGGTTCTTGAGTTTTGGCAGTCTTGACCTTGGCTCCTTGTTGTGGTGGAGCAGTAGTAGTGGTGTGGGGAGTTGCAGCCCTTGCTTCTTGTGTTTTAGCTTTCTTGGCTGGCGGTCGAGTTGTCCGAGGCAAGGCCTCGGCTTGGATAGTTGCAGTGGCGGTGGAGGCAGGTGGTGGTGGACTCTCATTGGTGGGATTTGCCGACGTATCAGTGGTCTCAGACTGGTCCATCTCTATGTCGAGTGGAGGTTGTGTCAGTGGTGGCACAGCAGGTAAGCTGGCAATATTTGCAGTGGTTTGTAGGATCTCACTGGAAGGTGGTGATGCAGGGAATGTGAGTTCAGGCATGTTGTTGAGTTTGAATACTTCGTTGATGGTGGTGTTGAAGGAGCCAGGCTCAGCTGCATTCTGTAGATGAGCATATATGATGCAACAGAGGATCTTGGTGGGATCGGCAGCAGGTGGTGTGAGGAAGGTGGTAGGAGCAGCTTGCGTGGCTTGTAGGATCTTGGTAGTGTCTGCTTGAATCTTGGCAATAGCAGAATATGTGGGTGCTTGTGGTTTGGACTTCTGTTGTTGCTGTTGTTTCTTGAGTATGTCCCTTCTGATAGGGCACCTGGCAGCAAGAGTATGATGGTCATCCTTGCAGTTCAAGCATTGCGGTGGGGAAGCAGTAGGGCAATTCTTGAAGTCGTGGCCCTCAAGGCCACAGGTGGAGCAGTACTTCTTGTCTTTGGCAGGGCAGTTTTTGGTGATATGCTGGTATGAGTAACAGTTAAAGCACTGTGGGATTTGTTGGTATTTTTCTGCTTCAATGAAGGCTGGATTGATGTAGAAGTAGTGTATAGCCAGGCCCTCAGCGAGGGCTCTGGCTGCCATGTTGACGTCACTGAAGGTGACCTTCGGCATGGAGGAGGCGTTGGGTATCTTGGTAAGAAATTCCACCTTGGCCCAGGAATTCTTTGCTTCAATGGACAACTTGATCTCTTCAGTAGTTTGTGTAGTGATGAGTCTGTCGAGTTGCTTGAGGAACACAGTTCTTCTGGCCCTCAGTGCTGGAGAATTCAGAACAGAGAATCCATGATCTTGTAGAGTGGACACAGCAGTAGTGGTGAGTAGTTTCTCGGCCTCGGTGTCGTCAGTACAGATGACAATGAAGGCTTCTTTGAGTGATAAAATCACATTGCACTTAACCTGCAATATGCCACTAACGACAGATGCAAGTGCTAGCTTAGTTGAGTCATTGATTGTTCCACTCGCTGGCTGAATCTTTACTCTATTAGAGTAATACATCGTAAACAGTGTTCCCCTCCCCAACGGGGATCGTAGGGATGTCTCTTTTCTTTCCTTATGCTGTTCTACTTGTGTGTGCTTTGAGGCAGTCAGTCTTCTCTTCATTCATACTCACTTTACCAAGCACCAAGCACTGCTTTCTGAGAATTGGTAGGTCAGAGTGATAGATCAACATCTCTTGATAGATTGTCATGTTAATCAGACAGCCTATTAACACCAATATATATATATATACTATGCACATTATTAATGATAAGAGAAGAAGTCAGATTGAAGTTGTACAAATCAGAGCCACTCAAAGCAGTAGTGGTCACGACCAGTATTTGTGGCAGTCTATCACCCAGCCAGGTAAGCTGAAGTGGTGTCTATCTTGGTTGAAGTAGCCGACTTTCACGTGATTGGCAGGTTGAACTGGACAGTAACTGCAACACTGGGGCCCCAGAACTGCTAGAGGGCATGCCAAATGGTTATGTGATGAACACTGAATAAAATTTAACATACTCAGCGCATGTCACACCATGGAGTGAACCTAAATGCTTTGTATTCCTCAGGTGCTATATGACCTCTATGGGTTTAGCACTTCCTTGTGATTAAAATAAAAATTCATAACTAAAACATTTCAACACTGAGCATATAAACCAAATCTGTGACTTCTCTCTTCAGGGAAGGTGATATTTAATGGTTCCTGAAGCTATATTTAATGGTTCCTGAAGCTATCCTTTTCCTTGGATCAAATCTGATTATCCCCTTTTGTCCAAAAGCTGTATGACCCTTATGGGTTTAGCTGGTGGGCCATCTGAACTATTATGTCAGTGTGCTTCTTGAAAGACAATGGCTGAATGACTGATGGTTAATGTGCTTCCTCATTTTTTTGTTTTTTTGGGTCACCCTACCTCATTAACTGAAACTGACTTAATAAACTAACTCTGGCTTTTTCTCTTCAGCACAGGCATTCACCCTACAATTTCTTTACCTTTGACATCAGCACTCATCTGTCACATGGTTCTGAATGACCAGCAGGTGTTTAAGCTCATTTTGTGAAAATAGGGCTCTCTCTCTTGGATCAAACTTGATGGCCTCCCATTTCATCCTTGTGCTGTTTTGGTTGTTACGAGTCTAGCACTTCCTTATAAATACACTATAACAGTCAGAAAGGTAAAGTAATTGAGTGTATCTTCCTCTATGGATTGAATCTGATTGCCTCCCATTTCCCAGGAGCTGTATAACCCCTATGGGTTTAGCTGTCTTCTTTAATATACATTGATATTAATCAAAGTGGGAAGTCTGAATGTGCGTGGATGTTGTGCAAATGATAAGAAAGAGATGATTGTGGATGTTATGAATGAGAAGAAACTGGATGTCCTGGCTTTAAGTGAAACAAAGCTGAAGGGGGTGGGAGAGTTTCAATGGAGAGGAATAAATGGGATTAGGTCAGGGGTTTCAAATAGAGTTAGAGCTAAAGAAGGAGTAGCAATAATGTTGAAGGATAAGCTATGGCAGGAAAAGAGGGACTACAAATGCATAAATTCAAGGATTATATGGAGTAAAATAAAGATTGGATGTGAAAAGTGGGTTATAGTAAGCGTGTATGCACCTGGAGAAGAGAGAAGTGTAGAGGAGAGAGAGAGATTCTGGGAAATGTTGAATGAATGCGTGGGGAGTTTTGAATCAAGTGTGAGAGTAATGGTGGTTGGGGATTTCAATGCTAAAGTGGGTAAAAATGTTATGGAGGGAGTAGTAGGTAAATTTGGGGTGCCAGGGGTAAATGTAAATGGGGAGCCTTTAATTGAGCTATGTGTAGAAAGAAATTTGGTAATAAGTAATACATATTTTATGAAAAAGAGGATAAATAAATATACAAGGTATGATGTAGCACGTAATGAAAGTAGTTTGTTAGATTATGTATTGGTGGATAAAAGGTTGATGGGTAGGCTCCAGGATGTACATGTTTATAGAGGGGCAACTGATATATCAGATCATTATTTAGTTGTAGCTACAGTTAGAGTAAGAGGTAGATGGGAAAAGAGGAAGGTGGCAACAACAAGTAAGAGGGAGGTGAAAGTGTATAAACTAAGGGAGGAGGAAGTTCGGGCGAGATATAAGCGACTATTGGCAGAAAGGTGGGCTAGTGCAAAGATGAGTAGTGGGGGGGTTGAAGAGGGTTGGAATAGTTTTTAAAAATGCAGTATTAGAATGTGGGGCAGAAGTTTGTGGTTATAGGAGGGTGGGGGCAGGAGGAAAGAGGAGTGATTGGTGGAATGATGAAGTAAAGGGTGTGATAAAAGAGAAAAAGGTAGCTTACGAGAGGTTTTTACAAAGCAGAAGTGTTATAAGAAGTGCAGAGTATATGGAGAGTAAAAGAAAGGTGAAGAGAGTGGTGAGAGAGTGCAAAAGGAGAGCAGATGAAAGAGTGGGAGAGGCACTGTCAAGAAATTTTAATGAAAATAAGAAAAAAATTTTGGAGTGAGTTAAACAAGTTAAGAAAGCCTAGGGAAAGTATGGATTTGTCCGTTAAAAACAGAGTAGGGGAGTTAGTAGATGGGGAGAGGGAGGTATTAGGTAGATGGCGAGAATATTTTGAGGAACTTTTAAATGTTGAGGAAGAAAGGGAGGCGGTAATTTCATGCATTGGCCAGGGAGGTATACCATCTTTTAGGAGTGAAGAAGAGCAGAATGTAAGTGTGGTGGAGGTACGTGAGGCATTACGTAGAATGAAAGGGGGGTAAAGCAGCTGGAACTGATGGGATCATGACAGAAATGTTAAAAGCAGGGGGGATATAGTGTTGGAGTGGTTGGTACTTTTGTTTAATAAATGTATGAAAGAGGGGAAGGTACCTAGGGATTGGCGGAGAGCATGTATTGTCCCTTTATATAAAGGGAAAGGGGACAAAAGAGATTGTAAAAATTATAGAGGAATAAGTTTACTGAGTATACCAGGAAAAGTATACGGTAGGGTTATAATTGAAAGAATTAGAGGTAAGACAGAATGTAGAAATTGCGGATGAG